CCCATGCAATCGACGCATCTTTGCCAACGCATTGGCAGTTTATGGATGCCCTTCTTGTAAAAATCAGCTGGACGGGAGGCAACAAACTCTTCAAAGGCATTTTGTACTGCCTCTCGGGAATTGAATTTTTTACCCACTAAAAAGTTGTCTAAATTTTGGTTGTCTTAATAGTCGGTAGGTGTAAGGTCTATAATTCTATTATTAATGTCAGTCCCAGTTACGTACCTAATAGAAAGCAAGTCTAGTAACGATAACCGGGAAGCTTATTTAAGAATTAGATGGGTCAAGTGGGAGTTCAATACTGCTCGAATGGCGTAGTAGTTTAAGCGGTCACCTCGTTGCTGCCTACTGCCCTGAGTAATGGGTTCCATCCCACATGGGACAACACTTGGTGTGATCCACAAACTTTTGTTGTGAGTCTGGGCGTTTCATGTATGTTTATCAAGCCTCCGCGACCCAGGATATATTATTAGTGCGGGATTTGTCTTTTCAGTTTTTTTTTATTAAAGCCTCCTCCTTCTCCCTCATCCTCCTGATTATGGGCCGACGGGCAGGGGCCTCTCAGTGGCAAGTGTTTTAAGGCGGTAGTAGTTACGTGCTATCAGGTCTCCAGTCTGCTAGTTTGCCCTTCTATAATAAAGAAAAATAAAATTCCGAAAATCCTGACCTGTGGTATTTTAAGAGCAGTTCTAGTACCTAACACTAGTTATACTCAGTCTTCAATACCAATTATACACGTTCTCCCACATTACAAGTCCCTAATTTTTCCTTTTATCCCTTACTTCATGTCACCCTACGCTAAAGGCACTTGATAAACGTTAATGTTACTCTGCCACGCGATCTTGAAAACATTAAACCGTGTCCCAGGGAATTCGTTCAGCCTGGTCATGCAGTTCTCTTAGGAGTTTTAGGAGTTAAACAATTTATTTTTAACCAGCTGTACCCTACCACACTTTGCTGTGGTACATTGTCGTTGAATTGATGAGAAATTAGCAATAAAACTAACGCAGAAATTAGAAAAATACAACATTGGAAGCGAGTTGTATATCATGTCAAAATTTATATCTTAATCGATCGTACCGAAACCAACATAACATTTTATTTATGTAAATAGATAGAAAGATATGATATCCTACTGATAACTGTGTGTTTGCGTTGTTTCTTTCAAAATTGTATCTCAATCAGCGAAGAACTTTTTAAGTTTTTGAAGCATACACAAATCAACATAATAGTTTATATATGAAATAGATAGATGTGATATTCAACTAATAACTGTGTGTTGTGTTTTAGTCGTGTCTGTATTTGCTGTCTATTCTGTGAAGTTTGGAAATGTGCTTCATTTATCACACACATTTCCAGACTTCGTGTCGCCACTGAGAATTTGGAAAAAACCCGGGTAACACTTTTACTTAATATCGGTAGTTAAAATACCTTAACTTTTTTGGATATTTGCCGAGATCTGGCTGATGATCTGTGAGGACTGGAGGATCGCACTTTAAGAGCTTCTAAAAATATTTCTAGTCTACTACAAAATCATATAACTTCTATTTTACGAAATACCTGAATAGTCGCTCAGTTCACATGCACAACCCCCCCCCCCCCTTACTCACTGTGGAGGGGAGTGAAAAGGGGACAACACAGTTTCGTTGTCTCTATGTTGCAGGTATATATATGTAGATGGCAGTAGTCCCTACTAGATGACCCGTCTGCTCGTTCGATCTTATGCCAAACAAATAAACGATAAGTCTCACAAATAGCCGCCATATTTTCATGGCAAAATTTATCACCAATTATCCCATTACAACCAACATAAAAACTTCTAAAATCTCTGCTCCAGACAAACAAGTTAATAATACAGGCCTTTACTGCACTTTATTATAGAAATACGAACAGGAGACGATGAAATGCAATATTTAGGAACAAGACTAAAATATTTTATGATATTACATGCACTTTATGGCCGGGGTCTGTATGTAATAGATTACAGACTCGTTTCGTTTTAACAGTGCCTTTTAGTTTCCCAAGGGTTGTTGCAGGTGCAACGAAACTATAAAATGTTTTCACTGTAATTCAATTTAGGTTCTTGAATTTTGCACAGAAATTTAAAGTAAGTTACAAATGTTTTTTTAGATCTTTCAAGTTCGATTTTGTCTTTGCTGTGTGTAGTTTGATTCTTTTTATTTATTTATTGCAAACTATGGAGGATTTACAGATACTAGACTACTTACTTACTTACTAGACTGCTTTTATTCTAATCATCTCAGAATCAAAGCAGTCAAGAAAACAGACCGATTACAAATCTTCACTTATATAAATCAGAGACAAGATACAGTGCACAAGACAAAACAGAATATTATCAAGAGGTATTATGTACGTTACAGGCATAGATCACTTACACATTACACATAACGTTTACACACAAAACAGACAGGACCCACAACAATAACTACTCGGACCCATCACCCCTGAAGAATTTAAGGCTTAAACACCTCCTCGCTCCCATTACACTAACATTAAAAATATCAATTCCAATTTGTGGCGATATATGGCTTTAGCAAGCAATATATGTAGCTATCAAAGCCGTCAGACCATTGAACTGTTTCCTAGAGGCCAATCTAGAGGCAGATATATATTTTTTGACAAATCTAGCGTTATGTATAACAATGTGTTATTCTTCCTAAATAATATAGTAATGAGATTTTTTAATATCACTTAGACGAAAGTCAGTGATATTAAAAAATCTCATTATAAAATTTTTGTTTGTAATTTTTTCTTGTAATTAATTGTAATATAATAATAATAATATATCTCAGACATCTGACACACGGCCATCTGATCCCAAACTAGGCAGAGCCTGTACTATGGTAACCAGACTGCTGATAAACATACTTATACATATATTATAGATAAATTACACCCAGACACAGAAAAAATGACTGTGCTCATCACACAATATTTGTTCTGGGTGGGAATCAAACCCACAACCTCCGGTTTAGCAGTCAGGGTCACTAACCACTAGACCAACAGGCCCGTCAATTTGCAATGTTTTATTGTGTATATTAAAATTTTATTTTCGTTGATTTTATGTCTTGGTGTATTTTATTTTATTGTATATGAACCCATTGGTCCTGTTACGTTGCTTGAACGTCGGCGGTCACAAGAACACGACGCTTGACTGACATGTCAAAAATAAAATTTTATTTCTTTCTTGATTACTATATTAAAATGTAACAACAAAACCATTTAATATTATAAGTCATAATTTTATTGCACACTCGTCACATAAATCCTAAAAATATAACGTAAATTATACTATAAACAAAGTCTCGAAACAAATATTTCAGTATAACGGTACAAAGGCCTTTTGAGGCAAAGGCCTCATTTAAAAAAAAGGTAAACTGGCATCGGGCGTAACTGATAATGGCAGTAAAGAAACTAAAGATATCAAAATAAGTCATATTCCATACAAAAAAGAAGTGGTATATGTAGGTGTAAACAGCCAAATTGTGTATGAATGAACTTAAATAGTTTGCTACACAAAATTTTAAACAGGTTTACGTAAAAACTAGTATGAGGTTATGTAAGTAGTGGCCATGCCAAGCCATGCTTCGGTAAAAATGGGCCATCTCCACAGGAGTGATACCACGGCCTCACAGAAACCGGTGTTTAAAAATTCTGCAATTGACCGAGTGAGTGAGGTATCCGTGGGCGGCGGTAGTCACTTACTATCAAAAGACCGGTCTACTAGTGTGCCCCCTATAGAATAAAAAATCTCTACATTATACAGTAAATCTAATGGTTAAAAATTGATTATTACATTATTGTTACCAAGACATTTCTTAGGCTAATTGATACTGTAGGTACACAATAACACATTTGGGTATTTTTCTATGAGATGTTGTAACAGATAATGACATGTGCAATTGAGATTTACGATATAGAAAATTACATAATCTGTGCCAAGTAAAAATTGATCGTATAGATAGTGGTGATAAGGACAACATTGCAGAAGTAGACTCAGTTAAACCATTATTTGTCGTGTATATAGATGATATGGTTATTGCAAGTAAAACATTAGAGGATCTCGGAATGGTTTCGGTTCATAGGACACATTATCAAAATAACCAAATTCAAAACATTAACTTGACAATATACCTTAAATATGAACTTTCTTAAATCTTTTTATATCAACATTTAACAATTCTAATAAAATACATTTCTTTTGTAGACTTTAAACTTTTCCGTCATAATTCGGCACATAAGTTGGCCGGCTCGACTAGAGGGCAATCTGCACTCTTAACCTGCAAGCGTCCATGGGTGGCAGTAGTCATTTACCATGAGGTGACTCGTGTACTCGTTCGCCACTTTACATCATAAAAAACATAACAGTGTTAGAGGATAAAAATACATCAGGACCAAACACTTGCAAGCTGTGCAAGGATGTGTTTTTGTTAACTGATAACTAAAATTCTGAACTGAATTTTCAGGCCAATTGTATTAGAATATGTCGTGATATCATTATAATGTTTTATCGCTGTATTCGAATGTTTTATGTCCTCAGTATTCCATATTTAATTATTGCTATGACAAGCCCGTCTCTAGAATTCACTGTAGAATCTTTGTAAAATTTGTTTTCTTAACAAACTGGCTTATTAATAAAATAAAAATGTATACTACCTTCATATACATAAAATCAAAAGTAAGATCAAAATGATCTGACAAAATTTGACAGAAAACAAAAATCTCATGGCAATTTTATCAACCCACATAAAACCAGTTGCTCAATAAGCCAACAAGACTCACTCGCTAGACTTTTCCCAAAGTAACAATTTTCTTGTATTCAGCACTTAGCTGAAAACAGTTTCTGATCACTTAGGGTTGATTAGGTTTCGCAAAAGGAGGTTCAATTGATGGGATGAACCTCATATTGAAATTCTTGTGGCAAGGCTTTCTAAGTAAGGTGTACCCATTACTTCTTGATTTTCTTCCCCCTCAAGATATTATTTCTCTACACGGGTAGTACCAGTATAATCTACTTCTTGATGCTTATTATGACCATTTTTGGCTAAAGCAGTCGAATATTTTTTAGCTTCGGCTACAGCTTTATAATAAATATCTTTCAAATTTCTTTCATTCCTCCTAGGGACAGTCATTTTAAATCTTTTCCTGCCATGTTGTTTTTCGTTACGTGATTCTAAATTCTTTTTTTTCTTCTTCTTTTCTGGAATCGGTATACCATCATAGTAGCTAGCTGTGGTTCTAGTGTGTTTCTTGCCAAAGTTTCTGACAAATTTGTAATGTTTTCTTTTGCGTCGGCTTTTGATGCTTCGTGGTTGAAGGCCTCTTTTATACCGGATCGGTATGCTAGATTTCTCGTATAACTGAAAATTGAATGGAAAGTTTAAAATTGTCTTTGCTAAAGCTCCTACTTTCTTGTTGTCTGTTTCATGGATGAATAAAAGAATGTAGTAAAGTAACATAACTATAGTTCTTCTGCAAATAGTTTGACGGCACCCGTGTCGTATATTTGTCAAGGATATATTTTCTTTTTCATGCGAGTAGCTTCGACTATCCTTTGTCCCATAGAGCGGAGTGTCAGAGTGACCCAACTAAAACCTATTTTTAATAGGAATCGTAATTGAATGCGAAAAAACGATTACTTTTAAATCTTCATCGCTTCTTCAAAATTTAAAGCGCATATAGTCTATTGTAGACATGTAGACTACTAGACATTTATGGAATAATTGTACTATTCTACAACTATCAAGTGTCAAATATCAAGTATCAAATATCGTGTACCAAATATCAAGTATCAATTATGACGAAGTATAAAATGAGTATAAGTAAGCTAAAACTAGTCCAACTCACATTATATAAATCGAATCCGCTTATTTGATAGTGGAGACGGTGGAGTTGATTTTGCAAATAAAACTTAACGCCTGTCATTTTGCTCTGTAACCAAAAAAAAAGCTAGAACTTTAGTGTGTTTATGTAAATTAATAAAGACAAAAATTTTATCTTTACCACGACAAGTAAAACATTAGAGGAGAACCTGGAATAGTTTTGGTTCATAAGATACATTTATCAAAATAACCAAATTCAATAAAAACAAATAAACTTGGAAATATATCCTGAAATATTTAACTCTTTTCATGTCAACGTTTAAGAAAAATTATTAAATATGTTTGTGTTAAAATATTATAAAGAATATTAGCACAACACTAGAGAAAGGAACTAGAAACGTTACCCAAGAGCGCGACATTTAATTTTTATATATTTTTTTATATATTTCATCTTTAAAAGACAACTCCCGCATTAGGAATATATCCTGTGTCGCGGGGGACTTTACAAACATACATGATACAGACACAAAGAACACCCAGACTCAAAACAACAATTTGTGGTTCACACAAAGTGTCGTCCCATGTGGGGTTTGAACCCACAACACTCAGCATAGAAGGAAGCGGCGCGGCGACCGCGTAAACACACACATATATATATATATATATATATATTTTAAAATAATAATAAATTATTGCTGAACTACAAGATATTGACCAAAATACGGCAAAAAATACGTTCTTTAACATGTATTAGGTAAGTTTTTGAATCCTAATTCCTTTTCTAAAATAAAGTAGCCAAAAAAAAGTCATGTTGCTCTTAACTGTGTTCCAAACAACAAATAACAGAAATTGCTTTACAGTACAAGCAGCGTGCAAACAATAATGTAATTATAATCACATTGTTTTTACTCGTAAATAGATGTGACAATTGGTGCACAAAATCATCTTTGACGCCAGAATGATTAAATTGGTAGGCAGGCAAAGAAAGAAAATCAAAGAAGATACCTTTTCCTCGTCACTCATCTCCTCGTATCGGTCCAGAAGTTCCTGAAGGGAGTGTATCGTTTCCAAATACTGTGTCCTCAAGTCACTCTCCTTAAATCCTATGGGGACATTTTCCGTACTGGTGGTATATTCCACAGGTTTCTCTAATGGAATGAAATATAATGTTATTTTTTGCCTGATGAGGAGAGACTGTCGCCCCTGAATGTTTACAACTCAAAAGTAACGAGCGCGTTGTCAGCTTTTGAGGTAGCAGTGAGTTTTTTTTTTAAAGTTACCAGTACCAGTCCGCAACAACCACAGGCGACAATTTATTCTATTATAATGTGCGAGGCAAAACGTTTGAGTGCCAATTATCCGAGTGATAGAGTCGGATGATTTGCCGCGTGGAGCAATGGCGGAACATTACGCCCGGTATTAGTCTCAATTCCTCAGAGCATAAAATGTTTCTGTAAATTGTATTAAAGTGTGTTCGTCACGAATTGAACTGGCTCACGATTCGCCAGCTCCGTCAACTGTGCGCCTCACCACCCTCTATTCCATTCTCAACTCACTCATTTCCCCTTCCTACCTTACATCCTCATTCCAATATCTATGTTCTAAATCGAAACCTCCGTTCCTCAAATAACCCACTCCTATTATGTCCCACTCATATTTCTGAGTGTTTCCACTCTTCTTTCCTAATCCAATCTGTCCTAGTCTGGAACGCTCTACCTCACGAAATCAGGATTGCACCCAGCCGCCTCTCATTTAAGGCAAAGACTGTGCTTGCGTTTTAGACACCCTAGCAGATTAATCATATTCGTAAGTTTATATATTATTTGTGTATCTCCGTTTGTGTATAGCAAGCATATATGTATGTGTATTCTAGTATGTGTGTATGTATATCTGTCCCGCTGTTTCTGTCTCCTCAATTATTATTATTATCTTTTTAAAACAAAAAGAAACCTAATTTCTAGTGCACCTATTCAGACGTTTCCCCACCACCCAAAGGTAGACTGGGAGAAAATGCCTGTGGAATTAAGTTGTAATTTGTGCATAAAGTTTTAAAATAAATAAAAAAATAAATAAGTGTTTAGAAAAGCACAAGATTGTTCACAGCCTTGCCTTTAGTTAATTCGTCGATGGTATCCACTCTTGAATAAGTAGGAGTGGAAATCTTGGATATAAGGTATTCAGGTTTCTCGTTAGTGAGACTTGAGGCGACTCGTTCCTCTTTCTGTTCTTCTTCAGGTTTTGTGAGCCACTCCAGGAATACTTTCAAATCTGGTGGAAGCTCTGAAGACAGAATAAGGTTTCATCATCATCAACCATCTTTAATAAACCACTCCTGGACATAGAACTCTCTTAAAAATAAGGTTTTGGCCTACCACGGTAGCCAGATAGGTTGGTATAGGGTTTGTTTAGAGACAAGGGCACTGGATATGTTGCCGTCGAGTGGGGGGGGATCACCATATATGGTGTCTATTTCTCCCCCAACCGGAGTTTGAACGACTTCGAGGTTTTCCTGACCAGCTTGGAGACCTCGATACGGCGACTAGCGTCTGGGCACGTCCTTGTGCTGGGGGACTTCAACGCAAAGTCCATTGCGTGGGGTTCCCCCAGGACGGACGCCAGGGGCGAGGCCGTAGAGGAGTGGGCGGCCTCGGTGGGCCTCTGTCTTCTAAACAGAGGCTCCACCAATACGTGCGTGCGACAGCAGGGGGGGTCGATAGTGGACCTTTCGTTCGCTACCCCTGCCCTCGCCGCACGAGTAAGGAACTGGTGTGTCCTGGAAGAGGTTGAGACGCTCTCGGATCACCTGTATATCCGATTTGAGCTCTCCCGGACCCAGGACTCCAGTAGGGGTCACGTGGCGCGGCGTTTATCCCGCTTTCCGCGGTGGGCTGTTGCCAGGCTGAACCGGGACCTACTAGAGGAGGCAGCCATAATTCACTCGTGGCTGTCTCCTCAGGCTCCGACCGAGGAGGTCGACGTGGGGGCTGGCCGCTTTCGCGATGCGATTACGCATGTATGCGATGCGGCCATGCCCCGCGTTCGAGGTCGTCGGCCTCCAAGGAAGGAGGTCTACTGGTGGTCCCAGGAGCTGGCGGACCTCCGTGCGGCCTGTACACGTGCCCGGAGGTCCTACACGCGCAGTCGGCGGCGTCACCGTGGAGACGGTGAGGAGGACCGGCTTCATGAGGAGTACCGACGGGCGCGGAAAACTCTGAAGCTGGCCATTAGCCGCGCCAAAGAAGAAAAAAGACAGGAGATGCTGGAGGGTCTTAATCGTGACCCCTGGGGTCGCCCTTACCGCGCGGTGCGACAAAAGCTCCGCGCGTCGGGCCCCCCCCTTACGGAGACTCTCCAGCCCAGCTTCCTGCGAGAAGTGGTTGAGGGCCTTTTCCCGCAACGAGCGGAACACACTCCCCCGGCGATGGCCTCCTTGGCCGGAGACGACGGGGAGCACGGGGAGGAAAATGTTCCGCCCGTCCGGGATTCGGAGGTAGGGGCGGCTGTTCTACGGATCCGTTCCAAGAACACCGCCCCTGGGCCAGACGGGGTACCGGCCCGAGTGCTGGCCCTGGCCCTCAACCACATGGCAGACCGCCTCGGGGAGGTGTTCGACGCTAGCTTGGCGTCGGGACGCTTCCCTGAGTGCTGGAAGAGCGGGAAGCTGGTCCTATTGAGGAAGCCGGGACGGCCTGCCGATTCGGTCGCGGCCTATAGGCCCATCGTGCTGCTGGACGAGGCGGGCAAATTGTTTGAGAGGGTTCTTTCTGCCCGCATCGTCCGGCACCTCTGCGAGGTGGGCCCCGATCTGTCGGACGCCCAATTTGGTTTTCGGGCGGGGCGTTCGACGGTCGACGCCGTGTTGCGCCTGAGGGCCGTGACCGAAGAGGCAGTGAGCTGTGGCGGCGTGCTGTTGGCGGTGTCATTAGACAGCGCCAACGCATTCAATAGTCTGCCATTCAGCTGCATCAGGGAAGCACTCCACTATCATGGGCTGCCAAAGTACCTGAGGCGGCTAGTGGCAGACTACTTAGAGGAGCGTACCGTCGTGTACGAGGACCGAGAAGGTAATTTGAGGAGTCGGCCCATGTCGTGCGGTGTTCCACAGGGGTCTGTTCTTGGACCCCTCTTGTGGAACATAGGGTACGACTGGGCCCTTCGCGCCGATTTCCCCCCCGGGCTGGGTGTAATCTGTTACGCAGACGATACCCTGGTGACAGCCCGGGGGGCAAACTTCCAAGAGGCGGCGCGCCTGGCCACAGGGGGAGTCTCCCTGGTGGTCGGGCGCATTGAGGCGCTGGGCTTACGGGTGGCCCTAGATAAGACGGAGGCCCTGTTATTCCATGGGCCCCGTCGTGGTCCACCCCCTGGCGCCTCAATCGTGGTCAACTCGGTCCTCGTACCGGTTCGGGCCCAGATGAAATATCTGGGCCTGATCCTCGACGGGAGGTGGCTCTTCGACGAGCACTTCCGACAGCTTGCTCCAAAGCTGGTCGGCGCTGCGTCTGCCCTAGGGCGACTTTTGCCCAATATGGGTGGACCCAGCGTCGCGACAAGACGGCTGTACACGGGGGTTGTCCGGTCAATGGCACTGTACGGTGCACCGGTGTGGGCGGCGGCTCTGACCGCCCAGAATAGGGTACGCCTCTGGCGCCCTCAGAGGGTAATGGCGGTCAGAGCCATACGCGGTTACCGCACCGTTTCGACGGAGGTGGCGTGCGCGTTGGCCGGAACTCCCCCGTGGGATTTGGAGGCGGAAGTGCTCGCCGAAGTTTATCGGCGAGTGGCTGACTCCCGGGCGGAGAGCGGATTTCGCCCTCCGCCCGAGGATGTGCGCGAGTGGCGCGAAGCCGCTCGCCGAGCCACGATGGCTCGTTGGTCGTTCCGGCTGGAGACTCCACGCGCTGGCTTCGCCGCCGTGGAGGCTCTCCAGCCGGTCATCGCCGAGTGGGCAGGGCGGCAGCACGGGACCCTTTCCTTCCGACTGACGCAGGTGCTTTCCGGGCACGGTTGCTTCGGAAAGTACCTGCACACGGTCGCTAGGAGGGAACTGAGTCCCGCCTGCCACCACTGCGACTGCAGTGAGGACTCGGCCCAGCACACGCTGGCGGTCTGCCCCGCATGGGCGGCGCAGCGCCGGGCCCTCACTGCAGTCATCGGAGTGGATCTCTCGCTACCGGCCGTAGTACGCTCCATGGCCGGTAGCGACAGTTGTTTTACCGCGGTCGCAACCTTCTGCGAGGTAGTAATCTCGCGGAAGGAGGCGGCGGAGAGGGCCCGGGAGGACGACCTCCACTCGGACCCGATCCGCCGCCGGCGAACCGGGCGGCGGAGGCCCGCCTATCACAGCCTCATGCCACCCTGAGTGTGGCCGCGGGTGGACGGGGTGGGTTTCCCCTCCACCCGCATTAGTTTGGCCAGCCGCGAGGGGGCGGCGTCCGCGTGTGCCGGACGTCGCCTAAAGAGAGGAACATCCACATTGAGACGGAGCCCGCACCAGGAGCGGGCTGGCGCTAGGAGGGGTCCGGATGTCTTAACAACAGCTGTTCCCGGATCCCTCCTGTTACAGGCGCAGAGTGGCACACCGTGTGGTTTTAGTCGGTCCGAGTCCGACACACCACCCCGCCGCAAACCCCGGAGGGGTGACGGTCCGAGGGGATTTCCACACGTTAAAAAAAAAAAAAAAAGGGTTTGTTTCAAATTTTCTTTCTCTTTACAGTGCTGTTAACACCCACGAGATGAATAGGCGTGGTGACACTCCTTATTCTTAATCTGTCATCACACGGACGGAATAATATGTCCGTAATCTAAACATAAATTCTTTAAGAACAATTCTCTGTTTAAAAAGCCTTTTCAAGTGAATTTAGCCATGGTCTCGATTCTGATTAGACACTTATGGAAGACAAGGACGGCATCGCATTAGTGGCTCTTGAGTAATATGTGTCCAGCGCTAATCACTTACCATCAGGTGACCTATGGGCTCGTTTTTTTACATAAGAGGGGGCAAACGAGTCACTTGATGAATAGCCAATACCGCCGGCCATGAACGCCTGCTACTCAGGAGTCACAAGTGCGTTGTTGGCCTTAGAGGAAGGAGTATGCTCTATTCTTAAAGGTTTGAAGGTCATATCGGACCGGAAATACCGCAGACGATAACTTGTTCCACAGATTGGTTGTGCGAGGCACAAAAAGTATTGAAAAGCGCACAGTGATGGAGTCCCAACTATCCAAGTGATTGGGATGAACATTTTGCTGTGTGGAACGTTGGCGGAAAGTCTACCCCTTTTACCATAAAAAAGAAAAACATAATCTTTTATCAAAGTACAATAAAAATAGTTACGACAACAGGTTTTCTGCTCGACTTGGTAGTCTACTAGGTCTGTAAGGAGACGAACCAGTTGCTGCATCAATGTTGCAGCTAAAGTTCCTTGGGATGTTTCTTCTTTCGCTGCAACCAAGAAGATTGAAGTATATGTAGACTGGTCTGTTTGTTTATTGGCTGGTGACCCTGAATGCTAAGTTAGAGGTTATAGGCTCGATTCTTCGGCTTCTATGCATGGGTGTAATTTAACTTTAATATGTCATCATCATCATCAGCCTATCGCAGTCCACTGCTGGACATAAGCCTCTCCTTAGAGAGGCCTATAAAATGGAGGTTTTTAGAAATATTTAATTGTTATCATAGCGGCTTTGCCCAGCTGGGAATCAGATTGCCGTCTATGAGATGTGTGAAATCATTTTTAAATACAGAAGGAACAAATGGAGCAAGAAGGATGCCACATACTTTCTGCATTTCTAGTCTGCTTAACAGCGTTGGCCGCCTTTCTGCACACTGCTATCATATTATTCTCCAACGTGTTGAATACAGTCTTCTGGTTTGTGTCGTATTCTTCCTGCACACAAAAATGATATCTATACTAATATTTAGTTGAAGAGTCTGTTTGTTTGAATGAAGAAAGAAAGAAGAAAGAAAATACTTTTATTAACGAAATAAAGTTTACTCGTTAAGAACGATTCGGCTGCACACGAGTATACAAGTTATACACACACATGTGAAAGGTGCGCACGATAGGTTGCGCACAAGAAACGTAACGAGGTCATTCATTCGTTAAATTTTACTCTTCAATTTTTTTTATAAAGGTGCCCGACCTTTCTGGATATTGATTCCTAAGGAATTTCTTTATTTTTAAGGAAATTAATTAGTATTAAAGTAGCTTTATTAAGTATTATTATTATTAATAAAATTATCAATGTGCCTAAAAGGCCACAACCTGCTCAGCCTATGAAGCGACCACAGCGCTAATTTTTAGCTGAAGCCGAAAGGTACCTCACGGACGTGTTCGCCGTTTTAATTACATAACATACATCCTGTAAATATAATAAAAACACGCGCCAATCTCAGGAACTACTGTCTATCTAGGGCGGCCAACTTTAAAAGAAACCAATCCAAAGCTTTAAAGTGTACACATTTCACCAACTTTACATATAAATGGGGCAAAGGAATTTAGATACAGATAGAAAGTAAGAATATAATGGCGAGCTTACTTCTTCCGACTGTCTTTTGCTTTTACGATAAAGGTCCTTTAGTTTCTTTACTAAACTGGAACAATGAAATTGAAAATCTTTTATCAAAGAAGAAAGAAAAACAAACGGTAAGTAAAAATTAAAGACTATGAAAGATATAGCTTTCATATTAATAATATAAAAATAATACTAGTATTCTACCATATTCATACAACGCCATCTAGTCCCAAACTAAGCAGAGCTTGTACTATGGGTACTAGACAACTGATATAAAACATATATACTTTTTTTTGTAAATACATACATAATAGAAACACCCAGACCAAATCAAACATTAAAAAGTTCATGCATACAAATGTTTGACTTGAGCGGGAATGGAACCCGCGACCTTTAGAATAGCAGTCCGTTACACAAACCACTAAGCCATCCGGTCTTCTATATTGTTCAGTCATTTTAAATTTAAATTTTTTTTTTAAGCGACGGGAGCTTTGAAACATTTTATTTATTTAGAAGAATTAATATATTAGTCTGATTTGAACATTTTAAAAAACTGCTTTAGATTTGGCAAATATGCATGTTGTTTTGTTTTCTAAATTTCAAGTAATTTTATATGTATAGAAGGAGATTATTACCCAACATTTTCCACAGTTCCTAAAGTGCTTCTCTTCACTACCTTTTCAGGAATGCGACCCTTTAGATTTTGGGCTATTTTTTTAAACTTGTCCTGCACCCATCTACCTGTGAACCATTTTAAATTTACAAATATTTCTCCATCATCATCATTAGCAGTCTTTAATAGTCCACTGCTGAGGATAGGCCTCTCCTTAGGAAGGAGGTCAAGGCCTACTATACCATGCGGGCCAGACAGGTTGATATATAGTTTGTTTGAAGTTTTCCTTCTCTTTGCAGTGCTGTTTTCATCGTTAGTTTTCTCCCTTAGTCGGCTCTTACGACACCCACGGCATGAATAGGGGTGGTGACACTCTGTGTCTTAATCCTTTTCAAAACAAATCCAGAACTCCCACAGTGCAACATACTGTTTTGTCTAATTTTTCTTATGTACGGCTGCCTGGTTGACGCCCTCTTTGGTATTGTGATCGATTTTAGGCTGGACAAAGCAGTAAGGAAGAAAGGACGAAAGAAGAATGCGAAACGAGGAAAAGTTGTATATTATATTAATACGTTTACTTTGTAATGATGCTAAATTGGATAGATGGAAAAATACCTACCAGATCTCTTTATAAAATCGTGTTCTTTAGAGTATTTATCTCTAACATTATTAAAATTATCAGTTTGTATCCCGTATTCATCATCATATATGTCGTTCCAGGATATTAAGTTACTATCATCTGCGTTACGCTTCACTTTATTGCTTGTATTATTATCTCGTTTTGGTACATCGGAGGTTGTGTCTGTATGTATCTGATCTTCTTGAGTGGATTTATTTACACTGATGTATTGCGTTATGGTGGCTGTAGCAGCTGATGTATTATTTTCTGAAAATACACCATTTATTATTTTTATAAGATAGTTTTAATTGATCAGCATAATACTTTTTTACAAGATTCATTAGAAATGTTTCGTGTGAATCTAGAAGAATTGGACGAAGAAGTCATGTTTTAGAATCTGACAATAGGCACTCAATATTATAGCTTACTAATGCGGCACTGAAATACATTTAGCTCGATACTCAACGTCGAGAAATTGTAAAAAGTACTGCTTCTGAGATTTGGAGGCTCATCCAAGTCTGAGCAGAGAACTATAAAACAAGAATAGTCGATGTAGCTTTAGGCTAAAAACATTAACCAATTAAATATTATTAATAAAGCGGAGCTTATGTAAAGCGCGTGAATGTTTTATGGTAGAACTATGATTTTTTACAATATTTCCCATCAAACAATCTTTAAAATTGAATAATTTATATTTGTTATTTATAACTTGAAGTAGTGATAAATCAGTATTACAATATCGATCTTTATAGGCGTATACCATTCAAAACATTGTTTATCGTAAATCTACCTCCAATCATAGATTTAAAACAAATAAAAAAAAACAGTAATTCGCTTAACTTCGGATTTATAGCCTCATACACTTAAGTAACCAATATATAAGCAAAAAAGCACTTATTAATTTTGTTAACCATTGTCATATTCATCCATTGACCATTAATTGGCAACTGCTTCGTTAAATAAATCATCATCAACATACCTACCCGTACCAGTCACGTTGGCCTTTTCTTCAATAACTTCTTTATTATCATCTATACTGATTCTTCTTGCACTCTCGGTTGTATTCTCTTCTTGTATTGAAAGAAGAACTCTAGATCTATGACCTATATTATCAATAATCTCCGAATCATAAAAAGGATAAACAGAGTCTGTAGTACTACTTCGGTTTTCATATTTGCTTTTGTTGGCTTTAGTATTGAGTTGCAGCAACAGTTCAGGTAAATCACAGCTGAATAAAAAGAAATAAAGTCATCCGTCAATAGATAGATGTTGGACTCTGGATATCTTTTGTGTGGGACGATGTCTTTGTCATATTGAATCACCATCACCATTTTTGGTAGAGCTTTTCAAATGTAAATGAAGTTTACCATTTTTACTTTGTAACGGAATCAACATCACAAATTTACGAGCAATTTTTTTTTAACTTTCAATAAAATACAAGACGAGCAATAAGATTAAAGTATTAATACCAATGGAAGTATTTGTAAGAAACAATTTTTCTCCTCCTATTTTGATGTCTTTTAAAAAGGACAATCGTATTTTATTTATCTTGAGAGATTCTTACAGATTAATTTTATTGGTAAGGTTGTCATGTCTTAGATTCTTTTGGATGTAGTTTTAAGGCATAAAAAATAGCAAAAAAACTTACCCAGGATTGAGCCTTGACTTGTTTTGATGTACTTTGATGCCTTCCAACATTTTGAACCAATTCGATATCATCATAAAAAAATCACTTATAGTTATATTATTTGTTGTAATATTATGTTTAGAATTGAAGTTTTCACTAACGGAGCTATTCGCTATTCCTTGTGTGTCATTTACTGAAGTATGTTTATTAACTTCAGTTAAACCCAAAGGGGATTCATTAATAGTTACATTAGATTTCTCAAGCATAGCTTTAGCAGTTCCAACATTTCTTTTGAATCTTTTAATTCTTTTGACTAATTGAAAAGCATCTACAACATTCGGACTGGTTTCTGGTATCATACTAGGAGTAACAGTGTTTAGTTCATCAAATTTGTAATGATCATGAGTTAAATCACTGTAATTTATGAGGTAAGGCATTTCAAACTCAGCTTTAGCGTTTTCTTTAACGATAGGATGTTTTAAAGTCATATACATTTGTTTTTGAAAATTGTTTAAGTCAATGGTTATTGGTTTAAATCTTGTATCTTCCATTGATACTGCTACATCGCTTGAGTTTAATTTTTTTAACTGGTCTAAGATTTCATGTCTATGTTCCGAGTTACTGGTGTTCTTTGAGTTTAATTCCAAAAGCCTCAGACGTGATTCAGCAATATTTTTCATTGGTGATAACGTTATTTGTTCTTCTTTTGATTGACTATACAGGTAAGGAGTGCTAAAAAGCCATACATAATTCTTGGTTAATTGTGACACATCATTCATTATGTTTGCCTGAGTACTTGGAGTAGAACCTTGTCTATCAAGACTCAAAAGAACCATGTCACGGTCTGAATTACTATAGTCACCATTATGAATGTATTTTGATACCAAGTTTTTTAAAAAGAGGTTTTTCTCTTTAAACAGTTTTCTGAAAGCGTTTGCGTTTGATATTTCATTAGCTCTTTTATTGTCGATCTTAGAATTTTCTATAATATCTGTGTCATCGAGTTCTATGATGTTGATATTTTGATCATCGTCTGAAATGTTGTCGTCAAGGGGTTTTTCCTTATTTTGAAGAATATCATAATCAGATCCCTTTAATAAAGTAGACAATAGAGATCTTTTTTTAATATTACTGAAAATTGTATTTGGCATTTCATCTCGCGACGGCATTTTCTTATTAAGTACTTCTTCAAGGGAGTTTATCTTAAATTTGGGGCTATAAAGTAATTGTGTTTTTGGAAATATCGATACAGGAGTGTATTTAGTCTTTGTTACTTCTTCAATTTTCTTTTCTGGTGCGTCAAGTTTAATGTGCGATTGTATTAGCTTTGATACTAAACTATCTTTTCTAGTCTGTGAGGGCCGTATCTCCACTCTGAAACCCTCTGATGTGGGTTTGGTAACGACTGTCGTTGAGGTCTGATCATCTGCTAAGAAAAAAAAATATATTAGTTTGGAGTTCGATTTTACGTTTCATGTAACTTTAATTATTTCTTATTCTTATTTATTTCCATTTGCTATAACTTGCTACCTTAGTTCAGTTATTTGAATGTCATGTAGATTAAACGTTATGTAGAGTAAAAGTTAGATCCGCCCTATAACCGTGTACGGATCATTCATCAATATCATCCGCATGTTTGTCAGCGGTTACCTCGCTGTTCCCTATTTAGCCGAGTGTTGTTCGATGCCCACATGGGACAACATGTATGATTTGAAAATGGTAAAAGAACACAAAAACCGCCACATATTTCAAAGAAAAATCAAACTCCTTACCTAATATTCTGAATATGCCACTAGAGAGACCTGTCGTTGACGTTTTATCCTTACTGTGAATACAGAAAGGGTAGAAAACAGCTCCCGTATCTTTATCTATGGCCACAATATCACCGCCACGAAACGTCCTGTCAGCAGACATTTTCACTCTATCACCTGACAGTTTATTATTTGTCGCTGGATGCTTGTCATTCCTGATGTTCTCCTTTTTGTCTTCCAGTACTCCATAATCACTGTAAGCTTGAGCCATTTCCACCAATCTATCGTATTTGTCGTCTAAATAATCCTCTACATATTCTATATCGGATCGTTTTCTTTTCGATTTTTCTAGTGGTGGTTTTGTTTCCATTCTTCGGCTCTCTGTACTCAATATATTTTCCTGATTTAAAAAAATAATCAGTCAAGTCAGTAATAAAGGTCTGCAGATATTCAAGCTACTTACGTGTTATTCGGTGGTGGAGCACTGTCAGTGAAAGGTTGAAGCAGGGTAAGGGGGAGGGCCGGATGTCTTAATAACAGCTGTTCCCGGATCCCTCCTGTTACAGGCACAGAGTGGCACACCGTGTGGTTTTAGTCGGTCCGAGTCCGACACACCACCCCGCCGCAAACCCCGGTGGGGTGACGGTCCGAGGGGATTTCCACACGTTATAAAAAAAAAGGGGTAAGGGGGAGGGAGTATCGCGCGGTGCGACAAACAGCCCACTTTCTTACAGGAAGTGGTGGAGGGCCTATTCCCTCAACGGGCGGAACACACAGCCCCGTCGATGGCCCCCTTGGTCGGAGACGACGGAGAGAACGTGGATGTAGTTGCACCCTTCCGAGAGTCTGAGGTAGGGGCCAGCCGCCCCGCCGTCTACGGATCCGTTTCAAGAAGACCGCCCCTAGGCCGGACGGGATATCGGCACGAGTGCTGGCCCTAGCCCTCCACCACATGGCAGACCGCCTCAGGGAGGTGTTTGACGCTAGCTTGGCGTCGGGACGCTTCCCTGAGTGCTGGAAGAGCGGGAAGCTGGTCCTATTAAGGAAGCCGGGACGGCTTATCATGGGGTGCCAGAGTACCTGAGGCGGCTAGTGGCAGACTACTAAGAAGAGCGTACCGTCATGTACGAGGACCAAGATCGTGCTTTGAGGCGTCGGCCCGCATTGAACCGTTTATCCCTTATGTTACTTCTTTAGGGGTTAAATTGCCAAAAAACTTTCTTAGGGGGCGCTTTCCAAGTAGCGTATAGTATGCTGTGCTAAAATATCATAATAATACGCAAAAATTTCAAGCTCCTAATAGTTCAGACTCTGCGTTGATGAATCAGTCTGACAGTCAGGACTAGTATATAGAAGATCTAACCTTGCTTATGTCCAAAGATTTTTCTTTGAGCATGGAACTCAGTTCATCAGGGTACAGCGGCATGGGGCCCTTCCAGTTTGGGTTATTGACGTTATTGGAGGGTAGATTTAACTTATTCTCCTTCTGATACACATCCTTGATGAAAGTTTGGGGTGTTGCATCATCCATCTGGATACATAAAACATATACATGTATTTTCATATATACTGACCTGTTGGTATAGTGGTACTGCTAAGACAGAGGTAGTTGGTTCCATTCTAACCCAAGACAAGTATTATGTGATGAGCACGATCATTTGTTCTGTGTCTGGCTGTATTTTATCTATAATGTGTATGTATTTAGAAATGTATAAGTATATTTATGTAGAGATGTTCCTTTTTGGCAATAGATCGCACTATTATGTAAGTTTAAAAGCATCTGTCAACCCTTTAGGGGGTAAAAGACGTGAGTATTTAAACGTATATACGTATATGATCCCAAACTAGGCGGAGCCTGTACAGTTATAACCAGACTGCTGATAAACATACTTATATATATCTAAATACATAAATATTATAGATAAATTACATCCAGACAGAGAACAAACAATCGAGCTCATCACACAAATATTTGTCCTGGGTGGGAATCGAACTCACGACCTTAGGCTTAGCAGTCAGGGTCACTAGACCAACAGGCCCGTCCATATATGTGTACCTACTCGTAGAACCCATAGTACATGCTATGGTTTTTTGTTGTTAACAAGGTCATGGACGTCCTTCGCCCATTAGGGAGTCGCGAAAGGATCTGCCGGAATCATAGCGACTAAAACCCATCCCCCCGGTGTTCCTTTCCCTGCCTATAGCCAGGGGAACTAGAATCTCAATTGCGTTCTTCCGCCACCACATGCGATATTTGGATTAAGTCTAAAAAAGCTACATTACATCAGCTCGCCAAAGAAAACATACGTTTGTAGTCTACAGATAAATTATTACTTACAACGCTACTCCAATCGCCTGCAACAGTTACTTCGGACATTGGGTCTTTCCCTTCCATTGGCTCATTCAGCTTGATTCCCAATTTCGTAAACGAAATCTGCACAATTATAAGCATATAAATTGCCGCACTATACAAAAGCTCTATATCATATTATATTATCAACAGCCTGTAATAGTCCACTGCTGGACATAGGCCTCTCCTTAGAAAGGAGGTTTTGGCCTACTATACCACGCTGGCCAGACGGGTTGGTATAGGGTTTGTTTCAAGTTTTCCTTCTCTTTGCAGTGCTGTTGTCCTGCGTAGTTTGCGCCCTTAGTCGCCTCTTACGACACCCACTGGATGAATAGGGGTGGTGGCACTTCGTATTCTTAATCCGTCACCACACGGACAAAAGCTCTGTAGTATTTTTTTTTTAATTTTATAAAAGACCACTCCCGCACTAGTAATAAATCCTATGTCTCGGAAGACTTTACAACCATACATGAAACAGACACAAGGACAAACAGACTCAGAACAACAATTTGTGGATCACACAAAGTGTCGTCCCATGTGGGGATCGGACCCCCAACACTGAGCGCAGTAGTAAGCGGCGTGGCGACCGCTTAAACCACTACGCCATCCGTGCAGTCAAATTAATTTTAATATTAAACTTTCAACATCGTTTCTCAAGAGTTTAAGGATGAAAATTCTGGATTTTTAATAGTTTTTTTTTCAAACATTCATAAATAGCACGAAATGAGCCTAACCGAAGAACGCAACCGAAATATAGCTTTCTTTCGTGATGAATCTAAACCTATACCACGATTCTATGACTTCTTATCTCATCATCATCGTCAAGAGATTTTAATAGTCCACTGCTGGACATAGGCCTCTCTTTAGAAAGGAGGTTTTAGCCTACTATACTACGCAGGCCAGACGGGTTGGTATAGGGTTTGTGTCAAGTTTTCCTTCTCCCTGCAGTGCTGTTGTCCTGCATAATTTAACCTCTTAGTCGGCTCTTACGACACCCACGGGATGAATAGGAGTGGTGACACTCTGTATTCTTAATCCGTCACTACATGGACAATCTAATCTGTTTCTACTTCTTTTTTAGAAATGTTTATATTGTGTACGTAAGAATAAATAAATAAATAAAATATATTCTTCGATAATTTTCTTTTACCTCAGTCACTTCGTCTTCTGCATCATAATCACGTTTCTTCCGCTCTCCTCTTCCCTCAATATCATCTTGATTCTCCATGTTATCAGTTAAGACTTCTTTAAAGTCCTCATATCCAAGGTTTTCTTCTTCTTCTCCATCCACTTGCAGAAGGCGTCGTATATTTGGTACTCTATTTATGAGAGGAATTTCGGAGCTGGATAGAGGAGCAGTTTCTTCCACTACTTCTGGATTCCTGAAATCAAATAGTTACTACGAACTTCTTAAATAGCTAGCCCTTGCACTTAAATTAAAGCCCATTTTATACTAGATCGTTTTAAATTCTTTTAAAACGAGCGAACTAACAGGACACCTGATGATGAGTAACTATCACCATCCGTAGACACCTATGAATATTTGCAAGTGAAGAGTATGTTGCCACCCTTTGGGTTACACCCCCAGGCTCAGAGCAGTGGAGGTTTGGGCTTCGACAACTTTACGCTAAATCTTTAACGACTTTTAGAAAACTTAACACAGAAATCACTTAAGTTAAAAGTATTATAAAATATAGTTAACACTACTCACATTAAAGTAGACACGCTAAGCAATAATTCAAAATCACTTGGACTAGCAGTCACCAGAGTAACATCCTCCTTATTTATCATTTCAGCTTCGTGTATGTAAAATTTGCGTTCGAAGGGTGTCGACAATTCGTGATCCAGTAATTTCAATATATCCGGTGTACTGTATGTGAATAACTTCTTCTTTTCTTTCAATAAATCTTCTGGAGATTTAGTATTCTTGCTTACGACCTTCTTGTCTTGTTTATTTTTAATTTTAGCTCTTTGTACACTAGCAATAGTTGGTGAACTTAGTTCATAATGTAAGGTGCTTGTTAACATATTGTTATGAGCTGATTTGCCTTTAAAAGCTTTATTCTGCATCTTGTTCTGTTTTACGCGCACTTCTTCTCCTTTCAAATCTATGTTTACTATATCTACGTTTTTAGTAGGAATTGGATGTTTGCACTTATTTTTCTCTCGTTGAAATAGAGCATCCAACCCAAACGGATCTGATACGATTTCTGGTAAGTTTTTATTGAGAAATCTGTCTAGTAGTTCATCTAGCCTTTGTGTGTTTTGATAAAATGGATGTTTTAACTGATGTTCGTGGTGAGCTTGATGTTCTTTTGGTACGTGCGAGCATTTTGGTACTAATTTTTTTAAGTATAAAGGCTTGTACTGGACTATCAACTTTTTCTTTTCAATGACAAACGCTGTTGGATCACCAGTTTCGTTGCCGAATCGTTTTAAGCGTGATTTATTCTTAATTGGCTCGTTAGCAAGATCATTTGTTCGATAAAGGTTGTCTCTTCTTTTTCTCCTGGCTTGGCGTCTCCTGGGATAGTGATAAACTTTAAGTGATCGCTTAAAACGATCTGGCTCCCTATTTTCGTAATTATCATTGAACATATTGTTTTGATTGTGAAATTTCTCATTTTTTAGATTCTTTATCATAGCGTCTGTTTGAACCAGCTTCTTATAGAATTCTGAAAATAATAAACTTCGAGAATTACTTTAATAAACAACATCATTCTGCTGGTACAGAGCTAGCAACACAGCATCATAACCTTATAGATTTTATAATCAATTATTTTGTGATTTCGAAGACTGTACCCTCCAGACACTTCGGGTACTCTGGAGACTTCAGGGATTCGAGTGACTCACAGGGCGACCGGGTCTTCCGGGATTTCAGAGACTCAAGGGACTAAGGGGACTTTGATGGCTTCAGGAACTCTAAGAGACTCTAAGGGACAATAAGAACTACATGGACTACCAGGACTTTAGGGGCTTCGGGGATTCGAGGACTACAGGGATTCTGGGGAGACCTTAGAAGTCGGGGGTCAGACAAGTATTTATAATACTCTGTAAAGAGTAATATTATGTTTTCACCTCTTAACTTTTCACTGCTTTTATCAATCAGTATCGTCTTGTCTATTAAACTGGACAAATCTGAATCTCCACCTTGCTTGCTCTCCCCACCATCCATCATGTTCTGTGGAAGAAAGAACTAAATTAAGTGCATCTATTGTGTGTATTCCACAAGTGTGTTCGAGGAATCTATAAATAAAAAATTACTCATTCATCAACGCCGAATCTAAACCGTTGGGTCTACAAACTTGAAATTTTGGCAGATGAGACTTTTTACGTCGTAAGCACCCACTAAGAAATAATTATTGGAAATTTCACCCCCAAGGGATGAATATATAAGGGATGAACTGTTGTATGGAAGTTCGTCATTTTTAAAGTCCTAAAATATAACCGTTCATCCTTAGGGCTACTTACTCACGGGTTGTAACCATTAAGCTATTTTCAGACGATGCATAAAGACCCAATTTCGCCTATAGTAATTATTTCATTAATATAGCTGACGGGCCTGTTGGTCTAGTGGTTAGTGACCCTGACTGCTAAGCCGGAGGTCGTGGGTTCGATTCCCACCCAGGACAAATATTGTGTGATGAGCACGGTCATTTGTTCTGTGTCTGGGTGTAATTTATCTATAATATGTATGTATTTAAAATTATATAAGTACGTTTATCAGCGGTCTGGTTCCCATAGCACAGGCTCTGCCTAGTTTGGGATCAGACGGCCGTGTGTGAGATGTGTGAGATATATTATATATTATGTGAGTGTTGAGCTCAACATCTCGACTTTTGTCGGTTTTATAAATACCCCGTCCCGTAACACACGGGAAAAAAGATATCTATGTCCCCAATAACTTCAAATTGATAAAGTTGAATATGAATTATGAGAATTATTTACTGTAATTTAATTTTTAATGTGTAGTTTCATTGTATGAGAGGAACCTAACTAGTGTGTGTCTGTCGTGTGGTGCGTGTTATTTGCGGCCCTCCTCCTTCCTCGTCCTCTCCCTCTTACCCGTCGGATGCTTAATGTATGTTGTGTGTCCAGTGTATGTGCTATGTTGAGTGGGTCTAGACTGTCTGAGAATTGCGGTATGTCTGGCGATTGTTGCGAGCCCTGTGGTTGTGGGTCCTGTGACTGATGCATATTTTGCGATTCCTGGGTGTTTTGTGTATGTTGGTAATGTGTGTTCTGTATGAATACCGTATCTCCCAAAACTTTACTGAGTATGGTCAGTGTGTGTATGGCTGCTTGTTTTTGAAGGATGGTTATGTCGATGTTGGCTCCTAATTTATCTATGTTTATATATTATATTATTATAGCTACTATTCCCTACATATTAATTATAAAAATACTAGATTTACTGTTAAACTGCGTCTAACCTACCTTACCCAGCAACCCGTACCTTACCGTACCGTATACCGACTGTACGGCCTACGTCTTTTACGTTATGGATCGGCCCTCTTTGGATCCCCTTACATTCTTACCATATACCTTTTTTTTTTCTTTTTTTTTCGTGCGGAAATCCCCTCGGATACCACCTGTCGGTGGCATGTCGGACTAAAACCGCACGCCGTCTCGGGTACTAATAGCCGGGGAACCAGGTATACCCTAAAAAGGAAATCCCTGGTGCCCCGACATACCTCGGGTCATCTACAGACGAGTAGACGACCCCCCCCCCCGTGTGGGAACCCCATGTTCCATGTGCTCCCTGGAAGCGAGCGCGCTTCGCAACGCGCTCGCCGCCACCCCGGCCTGCTTCTGCTAGGGTGACAGATGGCCTCACCTGTCACCCCCAGGCCTGCGCTTATGGAGGACGGAGGTCGTTCTGCGTCTTACCATATACCTAAACAGAAATATCTAACGGGACTTTCAATACAATTTTTATCAACTTGAAGTGGTCCGTAATAACTAGAGAATTCGCGAGGACGATTTAACCAATGACAATTGAATGAAAAAAAAATATTAAAAAGAAAATAGTGTTACAAGACTAAAAACTAAAAAAATACAAAATAAATTTAATAAATTTGAAAAAAAGCGTTGGGTGGTAAAAAAAACCCCTCACCAACTATGTTCTTTTTTAATATATTTTTTTTTAAATTAGTGTATTGTCATCGGTCCTCGATATATCTACCAAGTTTGAACGAATTCTGACCGTTTAAAGTCAGTCAAAATCACGCCCAAAGGAGTGAGTTACAAACAAACATACAAGTGTAGCCAATATAAAGCGTGTAAATATACGTTTGGCGGCAAATACCGTACCGTACCGTCCGGCTAACCGAACGAACGAATGATAAACCACAGTTCAATGTGATTTTGTCCAATGTCTACAAAGGTACTTTCGTTACGAAGTTAAACTGCACACTAAGTAAAATTAATCATTACGACGGAAAGCTTTGATCAACAATAGCAACTTATTTGTTGCTCAATAAGGTTGATTTTACACTAAATGTTATTTAAGTTATGTCTTTTCATTTGAAAGTGATAGGAGTAATTTATTGCTTTGCTCGTTTTTTGCAAGGAATGATCGTAAGTATTAGATAATATTTTGAAGATTTGTGACTTTATTACTGTGTACCATAGTTGTAATTAGGTTGGTACGTGACCCTTTATCTAGTTGCTATAGTTGATCGAAGACGGAAAGTAATCGGCCGGTTTGCGTAATCCCAAACAATATTGTACTTACTTAAGTGTATGTAAATCGTAAACAATCCGTCAGGGCAAGTTATTTTTAATGTATAGAGAAGGATTGACATTACAGAACCTCGGCCTTTTAGATAGATAGATAGGTTTTTTTTTTAAAGACAACGCCCGCATTAGGAATAAATCCTGTGTCGCGGGGGACTTTACAAACATACATGAAACGGACACAAAGGACACCCAGACTCAGAACAACAATTTGTGGATCACACAAAGTGTCGTCCCATGTGGGGTTTGAACCCACAACACTCGGCGTAGTAGGAAGCGGCGTGGCGACCGCTTAAACCACTACGCCATCCGTGCAGTAGGTACTCTTTAGTGCACACCATAATTAGGATACATGCGATGATACATCCAAAAAAACAGTGATACAATCGGCGGCCTTATCGCAGCCTGACGACCAGTCATCAAAATTAATGAAATCTATGTGTGGTGTGACTGTTGAGCCAGAGGGTCGTGGGTTCAAATCCCACTTGGTAATAATGAATCTGGGTGTCTGGGTGTAATTTACCTATATTATGTATGTATTTTTCTATTAGATAAAATTCTCGTGTTGTGGTGTTTGTTACCAAACTCCTCCGAATCGGCTGGATCGATTTTTATGAAATTTTGTGTGCATATCGGGTAGGTCTGATAATCGGCCAAATTCCATTTTTCATACCCCTAAATAATAAGGGTGACCTGACCCATCCCTAATTTTTGTTTTTTTTTGACAATTTTTTATTTTAGTATGATTTAGCATTAAAACATACATACAACTTAAAATTTTCACCCTTCTACGATCAACCCCTGTTTTTAATGACACAACAACGTTTGCCGGGTAAGCTAGTAGAAATATATAAGTATGTTTATCAGCTTTGGTTACCATAGTACAGGCTTTGCCTAGTTTGGGAACAGATTGTCGTTTCTAACGAACCTCAAGCTAACTTACTGTTATCACCTAAGAAAATAACCCTTTGAATATTACTTAAACCAACTTTACTAACCCTAAAACACTCGCCAGCCATTAGCACTTTAAAAGGGGTGCTTTTCGTTATTAACCCTCAAATAACGCCTAACAATAAATATGTCGGGGGTTATTTAAAAGTGCCCAGGTGGCCGACGCGACACTTTGAATTACTGCAGCGTTTGTAAAGTTAACTAATGAAGCTGTAATTATTTGAAACAGGTAATTTTAATTCTCGTTGGATATATTTTTCTAGGAAACATCTGGGCGGGTTTCAGCAGTGAAACACATTTAGAAGATGGGAGAGCTATGCTCAGGCACAAATGGGCCGACTCGACCGGAGTGTTGTTCCTTACGGAAAACCGTTGCGAGTTAGTTTTATATACGAGTAATTCTCTAATTACTTTTGACCGAGTGTTATGGGAAAGATTTAGGCTAATAATGAAATGTTTTGTGTTTCGTCTACATGTAATAAAATGATACATAGTTTTTCAACTTCAAACAAAATTAACAAAGAGCTCTAAAAACCTAGCGGCAATTGTATTATGATTATTTATTTATATCTTTATTGTATCCACTTTAATAGAAAAAATAAAACAAAAGATGAGTTACAAATAAGTTAACGTAACAATCGGCGGTATTGTTCGTGTTTTCTATTAAACGTAGGTGAGGTGGGTAATTATAAGGACTTTAGTGTTTATTGTTATAGTTGTTTCTTACACAGGCTATTTAAAATTAATATTAAGTAATGCAATCTGCATATTGTCTCACCACCATCAAGAGAGAGAGAGACAGAGAGAGAGATTGTCACGTTCATAAATGACATCTGTCAACTTAAGACATGTTAACGTTCCGTTACTACAGCAATCGGTTGATTTGCTGTCATTTTTTTCAGAGTTCCCTTGTCTGTCCAAAACTGATTATCAGATCTATATAAAATCTAAATGGGACCATTTCTCGAATAAAAAAAAATAATTTTGCAAAAATCTGTCTATATAGGACGGAGTTATGCTCGAACATATATAAAAAAAATATATCCGAATGGATAACCTCCTCCTATTTGAAGTCGGTTAAAAATATTACAGGCCCATCAAGATCCAGGAACACCCGCTCTTTTAAGACGCTGCCAATACTAATTTGGTAGGCACTTGAACACCGAGTGCAATTATCGACGTACAAACCTCCCCCCTCCCTAATTCGAGGGGGAGGTACTCCGACATAATCATCCAACCGATGGGTGGTATCCAAGGGGATTTCCGCACAAGACAAAAACAAGAAATGGAAAGGGGGAGGTACTCAACCGTTTCCAACTCACTCGTGACTTGTGAGTTGCATTTATCGATGGGCTGCGGGGACCAGGTGACCAGGTAACTCACAGCATGTATATGTAACATTTATGGTAAGAACTAGGTGATAAGGTTCTGATATACATGTCACTTACGAGCTAAAACAGCGTTCATAGTTTATACAACATATTAACC